AAACAATGTAAATAAACGTTTTATAAAATGATGTATATTTATTATGTAGAACCCAGAAGAGATTCAATATTCAATTTTTATCTAATTTCTATGTCTAGTTGTATAGAAGATTCAATTTATGTTTATTCTTGCATTTACTACTACAATATGATAATTCTGATTCTGATTCTGATTAATTTCTATATCGGTTATTTAAAGACGTTAAGAAAAAAAGAAGAAAAGAAAATGTATTTTATTCTTATTGTACTGTTATTATTACTATTATTCCTATCAAAATATGTATTGCTTATCTTTTGCAATAAAATTTACTTACCAAATTGCTTTTTTCTATTCAATCTTAGGCAAACTAAACTGATAAATAATCATCTATTAATTGCTATCAGAAGGGGTTTTGTAGAGATTGTACTCATTTCAATAGTTGAGATCATGAGTCAATTGAAGCTAAATCACCATGGAAAACCTGGAAGCACTGGACTGCCGTTTCGTCCAATTGTGGCACTCCTCGAAGCAGGATATTTACAAAGAATACGTTAAGCTATTTGAATATTGGATATGAAAGCTAGTAGTATGGTGCTGGGGGATAAGACTGTAGTGACCTACTTTTGTCAACAGAACGCGATTGGTTCGATGAAAACAATTATTATCATAACCAATTGTACCAGTGACTGTTTTACTGTGCTCGTTTGTTTAACTATGCTAATGACAGCCATTACACTCACTCTTCCGTTGACTTTGAACTCGGTTACGCTCAGTAACCACACTTGTACTCCTTTGGCACGATCTCGGTATTCTTTCGATACCACGAGATCGCCAGCAAATATATTTCAACTGCTACTATTATCTGCCTTCTGATATTGGTCTACGAGGATCTTTTTGGTTAATTGGCACGTAGTTTTGTAGCGGTGTTCATAGTCAAGCTCAACTCGACACCACGCTACAATTGGTGAGCCAAATATTGGAACACGCATCAACCTCTTGTCAATTCTTCCAAAGAAGTCAATCCGGTGAGTCTATTGTTTATCTATCTACGTCTGTCGTATATTTTCATATTAATTTTTAATATATAATATACTCGACATGACGGATAACGATAAGAATAGTATTAATATAATAGACTCCGATGTACGCGTACCGAATCCTCGACACTTTTTATTCGCGTGATGATAAATTCCACGCTTTATTCGAGAAATGCCCCAGATTAACTAAACCACTCGAGGAGATTTCAAAGGTGACCAATCGTGTTCTACACCACATAGTCACCTGCGGACCACCAGTCACGGCAAGTCCACGCCGACTGGCACCGGACAAATTAGCCTTCGCTAAACGTGAGTTTGACAATTTACTACCTATTGGTATTATTTGTCCTTCTCACAGTCCCTGGGCCTCTCCTCTTCATATGGTGTGCAAAAAGGATGGGGTTAGTTGGAGACCATGCGGCGACTACCGAGCTTTAAACGTAGTTACGCGCTTTGATAGCTAGCTACCCCATCCCCCACATACACGACATCACGGCATCGCTCAAGGGCACGACTATACTTTCTAAGATCGATCTGGTACGAGCATATCACCAGATTCCAGTCGCTCTTGAAGATATCGAAAAAACTGCTATCACGACTCCTTTCGGTCTGTTTGAGTTCCTTCGAATGCCATTTGGATTACGGAATGCTGCTCAAACTTTCCAAAGGTTTATCGATAGCATAGTACGAGACTTGGATTTTGTTCACGTCTATATTGATGACCTGCTAATTGCATCATCAAACGTAGATGAACATTATCAACATCTTACACTATTATTCCAACGCCTTTCGGATAACGGAATAGTAGTCAACCCAGACAAATGTGCATTGGGTAAATCAGAAATAATATTTCTGGGTCACATCATTAGACTAGAGGGTATTCTGCCTTGCGAGGACAAAGTTCGAGCAATCAAGGAGTACAACGTGCCGTCCTCAATCAAGGGACTGAAGGCTTTTCTCGGTTTGATTAACTTCTACCGACGTTTTATCCCTCACGCGGCAGAACGGTTACGATCATTAACCGATTTACTACGCGGTAATCCACGCAAATTAGAATTGAACGATACCGCACGTACTGCATTTTCAGAGATCAAAACGGCTCTCGCTCATCCTGACCCACCAGCCAACCGCTTGAAGCTTCTTAAAGCCAGTTATCTGCACCTGGAAATCATGTACTGTATCAACCCCAGCTTTTTTCAATCCTACAGTAAGAATGTTACATGTCCAATGCTGAGTCGTTTTGCATTTTAAATCTTAGTTACTGCCTAACATAGGATGGTCCTTACTTAATATCATCAGTGAAAAACTAGTAAGACAGTTCTGTTCCCCGGGATGTTACATAACATCCCAGACAACAATTGTATTTCTTAATATTTAGCTTTGTTGACCGGAGCGTTCTGCAGTAATGCCTGCTATTAAAAAAATACGTACACTTGTGTAGACTTTCATTCAAATGAAGTCATCCATTTACATAGCTTGAACAACACCAGTTATAGATATACTTTATTATTAAACATCACCAATAAATAATCCACAAGCCTCAACGAAGCAAACACACGGCGACTATGAGTGTTTCAAATTCATATATACATATATAGTGATGAGTGTTAATCGATTATGAATGAATTATTGATTACCTGTGTGTTATAACCAATGGGAGAATACATTCAAGATTGATGTGCAGACACGCGTACAATCAGATTCACACAGAGGTTGACATAGGAGATTAGGTGTCTAAATTACAGTGAGTAAACAAATAATAGCATAGTTGAATGGGCTCACTAATACTATACACAATCAATACGCAATCCACACAGACTCACACGCTTATGCAAATGCACATCCACATGCCAATCCACTATCAACGACTAGTAGTTGAATGATATAGCTGAGAACCAGTCTCAATCGAGTAAATGTATGTGATATTTTTTTTCTACCCGAAAATTCCAAGTCCTCAGCTTATTCCATACATTAATTTCATTTTTTTTACTCCCACCAACTCTACTTTGATATTGATCGTGATAATTTCACCTACCTGTGTTGATGAAGTATGATGTGAAATGGTGCAATACTGTTTTAGATTATATGTTGCTTATAGATGACTAACTGTTTTTGAAGCTCTGTTAATCACTTAACTGGTCATTCTCTTCATAAAAATTATTCCACAGCTAATAGTTTTATTTGAAATTCTAAATTATATACTATAGTGTATTCCCATTATACCTGGCAGAACAATTTATTCAAACAAATGAGACAAACATATATCTTACCAACAAAAAACAAACAAACAAACAAACAAACAATAAATCATAGAATCAAGTATATTGTACTTGAATACCTTTCCAATTTTACATTCAAATGAACTCATCCATTTACATAGATTAAGTTTTATTTTTCAAACACTAAACATAAGTAACGAGTAAATCAGTTAGTAAATTATAGTCCTCAAGACTTTTGTTTTTTACCACACGATATTATTCATTCCATTTATTATAATTAAGAGAATAGTTCACTTAATATATGAATCAGATTTATGATAACCTTGAGCAATAATTTCCCATCAAAACATTCCAAGCAAATCATGCTCAATGGATGATCATAAAACACTTATATGTTTCAAGTATTCCAATCGACAACATCACGTGCTCACTAAACCTATCCAAAATGAAACGAATCTCCCAATTTTATTCTCATTAACTGTTCTGATTATCTGACACATATTCAATAAGACAGTTACATAGAAAACATCAATAGTAGCACAACCATTCACACGAGTTTCACAATGTTCTTCAAGAAATATCTGCTTGAGTAAGGTCAAGATTTTCATCAATGATATTAGCACATATCGAAATCACATAGAATATTTAGTATCACTCAATTATGTATAACAAGCAGACACGATTCGGTAGTTATGCAATTTGTCATTACATTATTATTGTTATGTTTAGTTCTGATCATTTTGTATGGGTAAACTGTATATATGGTAGAACAGTTTGTCTAATGTTCAATCAATACTAATATCATTACAAATTTACCCCGAAATCACTCATAATTTAACACTGTACGACTTTAATGAGTTCAAAATCATGACTATTAACTTGAAGTTTCAGTTTTTTGACTAATACTGTCACATGGACACTTTTGGCTTCGATCCAACCACAAATCCTAACTGAAAATAAGCAATTTACACTTGTACGTTGTTTGCATATATGCTTACGACTGAGAATCATCTTGTAATAGTAGTTATGACAATAAACGAAGATAGTAATAACCCTACTGATTAGAACACGTTTCATATATTGTCCGACTTGAAGAACTATGTCACAGGTCCAAGTGAGAGATTGACGAAGTTGCAGTTTTTATTATATCCACAGATATACACAAGTTTTCATATAAATACAATTCAGTGATACTAAACTTAGTGGTTTTAAGACAAAAGCGTTTACAATAAATTCAACTCCAGGATAGATAACAAAATACACAAGGTTGACGAAATTCGATGTGAAACGAAACAGCCAACTTAAATACCCAACTGAGATCTTCAGCTTTCCAGTTCTTGTCGTCTAGTCATGTGAATAATGTAGCTTGACAACGAACTCCAGGTTCATTTGTTTCCCTTAATGGTTGATAGCTTAGTAGTTACAGGCTTCGATCAATCCCTACATTGCTCAGTCTGAACAACAAGGTGAGTATCACTACCTCGCCCATTGCCAGTGTGTCTTGATGTAAAATACATGAATATGTATCTGGTAAGTGATTTTTGATAAGGCGATCGTCATTTAATTCATATGAATTGTGGGCATTTCAATGATAATATCCGACTGTCTAGGCCATTGTGAACAGAATGTGGTTGAAACACTTAGTTAAAGCCAATTGCTTTAACCAGTAACCAGTAACTGTGCCAATCAAATACCTGAGGTCGATCATCCAGCTAGGAAAACCCTCTCGCTACCATATTTAAAAAAAATCAAAAGAAGTAGATTTAAAAAGTATATACGTGTACTTCTTAGTTTTAGGAACCAGGATAAAAATAGATAATGATAAAACAGAACAGAAGTTACTGATTTTCTTTCATTTTTATGGTTAATCTTGCCATTTGTAGAACACCGTCACGAGTTTTATGTACACCTAAGAACCCAGTAGAATGTACAAATATACAATCAGGCAGTCCAACAACACTACTTAACTCTTCATCACGTAAACCTCTCCAACTTTCAGGTAACGGAAGTCTAAAATAATGTAAATTCGGAAACAAAATGACTTTGCATTCACTGGAATAATATATATATATATATATGATTACGCAATAGTAATTAACAATTAGCCATTGATATCACGAACCAACCTAATTTAGACAACATTCACTGAAAGCCATAAAGCACTGGACAGCTGAGTCGTAATCGTATGCGACTCCTCAACAGTGCGCACCAACGACCCTACCGTGGATCGAACCCTTACAAACCGATCTCGCACACAACCACTTCACCTCCAAACCACTAAGCTGCAATTCAGTGGTCCACGTCATATGTTCGCTATCGAGACCTGAATCTGATCCTCTGTAAGTTTGTCGATGCACACTGCTAAGGACGAATCATATGTTCAGTGCTTTTTGGTTTGAAGTGGATGTCGAAATAAGGTCGGTATATGACATGACGTCCAATAATCTGTACAAACCTCCAATACTAATGATAAATAATGATTGATTTCGAATTAAAAAAACTCGAATTATAGCTGAGAAGCTCAATAATAACAATGAACTCAGCACAGACAAGTACACAATAAAACAACTAGTCCAATATAGATGAACAGTAAAACAAAGTGTATCAACTAATGACACAATAGTTAGTTAGTTTATGATTAACCAATCTCTAAGAAATTATACAACAGAAAGACTAGTTACTAATGAGTACTACAACTGTAACATACAAATTTCACAATAATAATAATGATAACTTACCTTTGTGAAAAATTATTATGTTCATTCAATGGTATAGATTGTAAAGTCCATGTACTATCTTTACGTTGATAAATAACAAATAAAATTTGATTATTTTTTTTCTCAATTTCATTTACATTCATATTATTTAATAATAAAGATTTTTCAATTTCAAAAAAATGTGCACTCCATGGACATCCATTACCTTCAATATAAATTATTGTACCAGATGGATCAATTGAATATCGGTTTTTGACAGCATTTAATACAATTTCACGAGCTGGATACCATGTATCAGCATAGAAATGAACTAAAGTTGTAAACTCTTTATCAACTAATTGTAAAGCATTATGAAAGCAAATCTAAAATAAATGGATAAACACATATATAAAGTATTAATATCGTATAAAACAAAACTGCTATGAGTCATGATAATGTATACTAGCGGCATCACTGTTCTTTACGAAATTCAGAGGATGAAATGCGAATGTCCGGTGCCTTAACTGGGTTAATGCATATGGAGGATCTACGTAAGGGAATTGGAAAATCGTGATTTCAAACCACTGGTGCTTATGGGTTCCAGGATCCTGAGGCAACGACAACGAATGGCGTATGAACCAATCATGGGACTGCATTTCCTAACGTTGCTCCATTGCCTTGTGGATTAGAACTCTACGTGAAAGACTCAAAGAGTGGCCTGCTAGCGAAACCAACTACTTCGGTTCGGCCGCCCGGCCAGCGTCCTAGCCCTTACACAAATCATTGAATTTGTGCGGCGCATGTAACAATGTTTATCTGTTTAAATAAACAATAAACAAGAATTCAGGGACAAGTCAATGTGCATCATATATTATGTATAAGTTGGAATGACATGTTCACCAATATACGACAAATGTAGCTAAATAGGATTTTCCTAATTAACAGGTTTTTATTAATCCTGACTAATGAAAAATATGCTATTAATTACCGTCCTATTCATCAATTTTTTTAAATATTCATCATAAGTTGGATGCCCGGATAGATCAGTTACGGTTACGGGATTTGCACCTACAATGACAAACAATAACAGTTCGAATGTTGAGGATAATAGGCACATCTCTTCAATGTAATAAATACATTGTACCAATGAGTAGTAAGAAACAAAGAACTAACTTAAGAACCATTGAACCAACTAATTTTAAAGCAACAAATCAAACAAAATGCGTTTCTCTGAAAACAAAAGTCTACTAGAGCAAAAAAATGAAACATGAGTAATATTTTTTGGAACGGAGAGACAAAAATTCACCGGCAAAATGAAACAACTACACAATAACATACAATGAATTGTTATCTGAAAATAATATTCACACTGATTCTTTTGCATTAGTTGTCTTAATATTCACATTGATGTTTAGGATTGCAATCGATCAGTCTGTTATGGCATATGCGCATCCTGTGTGGTGTGGATTGTCTCGATATTACCATTAATTCGTAAATATAAATATAATGAGCAAATATGGATATTGGTTATCAGTGAGATCCAGGACGCACACTTCGTCTCATGTGAGACTCGTCAGCTGGATGTATCTGAATCCCAGAGTTGATGTACACTCCCTCCGGGACTGGAATTATTATTCTGTGTACTTTCATTTGTAATCTGTGAAAAACACATATATATCAACTTACAGTTTCATCTGCATCCAACTGATTCCAAGCTGGATTCATACGACTCACTCGACTACTTAAGGATGTATTCGTAGAATATCTAGAATTCAAAATTATTAAATATCAATTTAAAAATTCAAACAACCTTAAAGGTGTTGTTGCCATTGGAACACCATTGTCGATGGCGTCTATCTCAACAATAAATGAACTATACATCTATAATAACATAAATAAAAGGGAGAAAAGGTTTTGTCAAATTCTGATTCTGAGGGAAGAAAACTGCATCCAGAAATAATCAATTTTCTAATGTATAAAAACCTACCTTATCAAAAAGTGCCGTCACCAATGGATCCATAGTATTTTCATCTCTACCAAGTATACAACTTAGTATTTTTCGACCGAAATGAACGTATATCAAACCTGCACTACTTAATTTTATATCCCAATCAGAATTTGGATGAAAATCTTTATAAGTAAGATTGAATTCTCTACAAAAAGTAAAATTTGAAGAAAAGAGGAAAAAAGCTGAATTAATTCTAACCAATTATAATACTAACCTTTGATGATGGTCGTATAAATGATTTTCAGCATTGAATACACCGCCAACGTCAACGACGATATCACACGTTGACAAAACACTTGAATCTCTCGTGCGTATAATCTCAGCATTTGAGTATTCCGGCAAATGCTTAAGCATTGCACATGCAAGTACTTCATCTGAATGGAATCGTCCATCATGTGTACCAATACGCAGTTTTGAATTAGTTGCCATTGATAATAACGAAATATTGTTAGCTACATGAAAGACGGAAACAACACAGTATAATTATTGACTGAAAGGATTGATTGAGTAAAGCCCAATTACATTTAAGTCGACTGATTTACTGAGTGACATATTCGTGTACTTGGTTTAGAGCTACATCACAAGTGTGACAGGCAGTTATGCGACATGGCAGTGTATTTTTCGAGTATCAGTTTTAGTGGTGAAAAGTTGAACGTTTTAACTACATAGCTACTACTCCGATTATATAATAGGTTCATGTTGTCGAAAATATTTACAAAATCATGGTATTTTGACAAGCAGTTTGGAAGCGAGTAGATTTTGTCAGGTGAAGTAGTTGATGTGGGTTCTGTGTTGTATAGGCAAAACTATAAAGTAAACCACCGCTCTCAATACTTCATGAGAATGAATGTTAGAATGATTTATTCGATAATTTAATACTGACAATACATATCGACAAGTGAATGGTAATATCAACTACGAAATAGTACTTTTAAGCAAGTGTTTGCAGTGGTGCTAAATTCAACGTTTTAACTAAATTATTAGTCCTATTTAACTGTATATAAATTTTAAACTAGAAAATGCATTTTTAAAAATTGGTAACATTCGCAACATAATCTTCCTATTATAAGCAAAGATGGATAGTGGCTAGCAGTGGAATTCAGGACGCACGTTTCGTCGTATTTGGGAGTGGTCAGTTGGATGCACCCGCTTTCTATATTCTCATTGTATAATAAGTAGGGAAATGTAGATTTATTCATCATTTGCCTAACCCGAAATCCTAAATTTCAAACTAATTTTATACCTTCTTTTGTGAGAATTCATTCGTTTTACTCAAATTAGATTCTCTATTACTAATCCTTTTTTGACTATCCCTGATACAACTAGTCATTTAACATACATAATGATAACTTCCTCTCGCAGCCCTAATCGAACTTCGATCTGAAGTTTGTGCTGATGATGTCGTTCAGAAGAACGACTAAAGCTCCACGACCGAATCATCCAGCTCAGAAAACAAAACTCCATCAAAATCATCCACTTGAGCTACAAATCTTCTCCACCATCTCAGTTACAACAATTGCAATCAATCTAAATCAAACAAACAATAATTGAGATTTAACAACTTGAATCATATGAATAATCTATCGTTGAAAAGATATATCAACAAGAACAATGCCTTAAATCACTACATTATATGTTATAATGGAATCAAATAAGATGGATTGTAGCTAGTAGTGGAATTCAGGACACGTGTTTCGCCTTACTTATGACTCATCAGCAGAATGTACACGCAAATCAATGCTGGTGTTTATACCAAAACTCGAACTATAAAGATTTAGTCAAGAATATCAACTACGGAGTAACTCAAACCTTTACGAATCAAATCAAAATACTGATATCAGTTTTATCAAATAAATATTACTCTTCCAAAATTGATGAGGTTTTATTTGAAACTGTCAGTTTTCTCTTGGATACTCACACAGATTTAAATATAGGAATACAAGTCTACATAAAGTAAGCCGCTATTATAGATAATAAACAAAATATTAGAACTAACAGATAAATAAAAAATTGTCAATATGGGGTTTTTGAGATTGTAGAATTTCGCCAGATTTATGAGCCGATTTAAGTTGCACTTGTATACCGTTCGATCTCGACTCAGAAACCCAGAGACTAAGCGGTTAGACACGAGACTGAAGGTCTCAGGTTCGCTTCTCAGCTGCAAGGTCGTGGATGAGGACCGTTGAGTAGTCTTATGGCGGGACGAAACGACTGTCCGATGCTTCTAGATTTTCAGTAGTTGTCTAACTCAAATCCGTTAGTGATTTCAATCAAATGAAGAATTGTACTGTAAGTCAACAATTATATAGTACGATAAAATGATTGCTTTTAAGCTGTTCCAAGTCGTAAACGACGTAGGAGCTGGAACAAACGTACATCAACCAAAGTCATGGTTAAGAAGACGGACAGATGAGAAGTTAAATTAATATTAGCGTCTGTTTTATTTAAAAACAAACAAGTGTAATCTGGGTACTCCAAGTTGATAATTGAGTTTCGTGGTAAGAGAATAATCCTTGGAAAGACCGACGAAGAAAGTATTATTTCTAAAAATATAACTATGATAAATATAGAAATGAATCAAAAAATTGAACAGAAAAGTTACTGATCATGTTCTACATTAGTATTTATCAATTGAAGTGTGTACTACTAAGGAATAACACCAAATAATAATGAGGCTGCCCTGAGTAAGAAGGGAGGCACCATTATTTATTTTAACACATAAGTATAGGTACAGGGAGGCACCAAAATACATATGCGCCACACAAATCTCAATTGATTTGTGTGAGGGCTGTGATACTACCCGGGTGCCCAAACCGAAGCAGGTGGTTGTCTCAGGGGGCCACACCCCGAGCCTTTGACCTGAACGTCTGACCCACAAGGCAGTGGAGCATCGTGAGGAGATGCAGTCCCATGGTAGCCGGTGACCAACGATTGGTTCATACGCCATTTGTTCCCGCAGGATACTGGAGCCCATGTGCACCATTGGTTTGGGGTCCGGTTAAAGCGCCAGACATTCGCTTTTCGTCCTCTCATTTTTGTAAACAACACCCCCGCCACGAGAAGGCAGTGAGTAGGACTTCCCTGGCAGGGGCTATATACGCATGGCCATGTGAGAGCATTTCGAGAGGGAGAGCGGACTCTCCCCACTCTCGGCCGTACCAGGGCATTTGGGGGCCCTGAGTAAGAAGGAGGTCAAGGTAAAGAATAAGAACACTTCTGGAAATTATTGTCATAAATAATATGAATATTGTAGTTTACAAAACATTAGTGTTAGTCAATGATAAAATAGTATCATGAGAGACCAAAACTTAACAGAAGATTAATGGACTATTCAAAAAGGACCAAAATGACTAAATAAAGTTATTTACGATACAG